AAAATTTAAACTCTCTGTTCTTATTTTAATTTTGGGCAACCGTCTTCATCTGAGCAGAAGCTCTATACTCTCGCCCGAGTACAGAGGACGATCATTTCCGGGGTTTTTTACTGCTAGGGGAGAGGGGATCATCTGCGTCAGGACGATAGACGAGCCCTCAATCTTTTAGGACAGTGCAGTAATTGCACGACTGCTACCCGATCAGGCCAAATTTTCTGTTCTTTTTATTTCGGATTTATTTGCATGCTATAAGTTTATTTAATTTTTAATTAACAATCTAGAAGATTGATTTATTATAGATGTTAATTTTGAAATCCGAAATAATTTTAATCTGTAATTAATTGCTTTTAATTGTTGATAATTATTTTCTGCTCAATTTCAATTTGTAATTAATCCAAAATTAGAATCTGCTCATCTGATATAATTATTGTGAAATTGTTCATTGTTAATTACTATTAAATAATTATTGTTAATTACTATAATTATTAATTGCTGTTAACATTGCTAAATATTACTGTTAATTTGTTACAATTAGTTACTGTTAATTGTTTAATTCGTAATTAATTGTCAATTTGTTATAAAAAATATTCCAAAATAAGAATAATTGTCTTTTTGTTACTGTTACAAAATTAATCCCGAAAAAAATAGAATTATTGCTTCAATTATTCTTGCTAATTACTGTTTTAAAATTAATTTGTTCAATTTCATATTTACTGATTAATATTACTAGTTCATAAATAATCTTGAATCAAGTTCATACCCTTAAGTCATACTCCTAAGTAACTAGTTAAGTGGTATTGACAAAACTTCCATTCCTATCAGATTTTAAAATACCTAGACTAGTTAACTTGAGTCAGACTAATATTGATCATTCTAAGAGTGTCAAATCTGAAAAGTTTACCGATGTTAACTACAAACGGTGGACTAATCAGATGAGATACTGACTCATTATTCTAAGTCTCTTATCTGCCATTGACACTCCTGATTCTTCATCTTTTGGATCTCAACCCATGACTCCAACTCTCCTGTGTTCATAGTCCTAAACATGAACAACTTACTCCTTCCACTTTTGCTTCTGGTGCTAGTTCCTTCTCTAGTTCTATGAAGCCAGAAGAAATAAACTATCACTGCTGTCATAGGATCCTTAGTGCACTTGTGGACAATCTTTATAACATATATTATGAGTTCAAAAGTCCTAAAGACCTATGGAATGCTCTTGAAGCATAATATGGCTTTGATGATGCCGGAATTCTGCGTTTCACATCCTCTTCCTTCAACAAGTTCACGATGGTTGATGTCAAACCTATAAATGAACAATTTCATGCATTCCAAGATTTCATTCGTCACCTTCAATAAAAAATAAACGTCTTTAATGATGATTTTAAAGTTTCCTGTCTGATTAACAAACTCCCTCCTTCCTGGTCTAGATTTTCTGAAGATCTCCGACACAAGTAAGGAGATCTAACGTTAACTGAAGCCATCAAGGCTATTCGCATTGAAGACTAGCATAGACAAAATTCCAAAATCAAGACCGAAAGAACTTGATAGAGGATAAGTCTAAATCTAATAATTTCAAACCCAAAGAGAAGAAATTTAAGAAAAACCAGCAATCACTCAACAAATCATCTTCCAAATCAAATCACAATTCTTCTAGCTATAAGTCTGATGGAAAGTTCTGCTATGTCTGTGGTAGAACCAACCACTTGGCTCCTAACTGCTTCTATCGGAAGAAAGAACCGGCAAAACCTGCTCCAAAAGGAAATGGATCTAATAAAGTAAATATGATTGAAGAAAATCCAAATTCTTTCAGGTTAGCATCTTCATTCTATCTTGTAAATTCTCTCTTACTTCCTCCTCTAATTGGTACTTAGATTCTGGAGCTAATATTCACGTTTGCAATGATCGCTCTTGATTTTCAACTTACCAGGAATTATGTGGAGGAAGCATAAGTTTAGCAGATGACTCCACCAAATAAATAATAGAAAATGGATGCATAGAGCTCATCATGACTTCTGAAAAAACTCTAAGTCTGCAAATCGTTCATCATGTTCCTTCTCTCTGCCGAAACTTGATCAGTGAATCTCTTCTTCTTAGAGCTGGCTTTAGGATTATAAAAGAATTCAATAAATTTATGATTACAAAGAATAATGTATTCATAGGAAAATATTTTATTTGTAATGGTCTTTTCAAGCTCAATGTAATCAATTCCAGTTCTAATGAAGTTCTTGAATCTTCTGTTACACAAATTATTGAATCTTATGATGTTTTGGATGGACGATTTGGACATGTAAATTTCTAAACTTTGTAGAGAATGATTAAATTAAATCTCATTCATAAATCATCTCATGATCCCTCATCTAAGTTTGAGATTTGTGTACAAGGGAAACACACTAAGAAACCTTTCGAGTCTATAACTAGAAACTCCAAACCCCTCGAATTAATTCATAGTGATGCGTGTGATTCGAACCAAGTTCTCACTTGAGGGGGTAGGAGATATTTTATGATATTTATAGACGATCACTCCAGATATTGTTACATCTATCTTCTCAAAACTAAATGAAGTTTTAAATAAGTTTAAGGTGTATAAAGCTGAATCTGAGAACCAACTTGAAAAGAAGATCAAGATTTTAAGATCTGATCGTGGGGGAAGTATACCTCAAATGAAATGACTGAGTATTGCTAACAGCATGGTATTATTCATGAGGTAACGGTTCCCTATACACAGTCTAACGGGGTAGCTGAACAAAAGAACAGAACCCTTATGGACATGGTGAACTGTATGTTGATCAGTTTGGGAGCACCTGTAAATCTCTGGAGTGAAGTTCTTCTTTCGGCTTGTTTCATTCTCAATAGGCTTCCCTACAAAATTTCTGATATAACTCTTTATGGATATTGAAAGGGGAGAACTCGTAGGTTGAACTTCTTTCGGATTTGGGGTTGTTTGGCTAAGGTAGCTATTCCCGAATCTAAGAAGAGGAAAATTAAATCTAAGACTGTTGATGCTGCATTTATTGGATATGCATTATATAGCAATGTTAACAGATTTCTAGTCATTAACTCTGAAATCAGTGACATCCAATAATACTATCATTGAAGCAAGGGATGTGATCTATTTTGAAAACATCTTTTCTTTCAAATCCAAAATCTCAGAAAACCTTAGATCATATCTTCCTTTTGATCTACCATCTTCTAGTTCTTCTGAACCTCTAGATTTTGAACCTCAAAGAAATAAAAGAGGTAAAATTCAAAAGAATTTTGGAGAATACTTCTTTACCTTTCTTGTTAAAGGTGATCCAAGCTCCTTTAGGGAAGCAATGGATTCTCTTGAATCTCCTTTCTGAAAAAAAAAATTATTGATAATGAAATAAAATCTATAATAAAAAATCATACTTGAATACTAAGCGACTTACCTCCAGGTTGTAAACATGTTGGTTGCAAGTGGATATTCAAGAAGAAACTTAGAGCTGATGGTTTCATTGATAAATATAAAGCAAGATTAGTAGCTAAAGGCTATACTCAGTAAAAGAGTATCGATTACTTCGATACATATTCTCCTGTAGCCTGAATCTCAACTATTCGAGTATTATTAGGCTTTGCTACTATTCATAAATTGATCATACATTAGATGGATGTCAATACTATTTTTTTGAATGACGATTTAGATGAAGAAATCTGTATGAACCAACCTAAAGGCTTTATTACCAAATGCCAGGAAAATAAAATATGCAAACTTGTTAAATCTCAGTATGGTCTAAAATAAGCTCCTAAATAATAGTACCAGAAATTTAACAATGTCATTGCTCAATATGGTTTCACTGTGAATGAACATGATAAATGTGTCTACACTAAAGTGATAAACAATGATTATGTCATCCTCTATCTCTATGTTGATGATATCTTTATCTTTGGAACAACTCTTGAAGTAATCTTACAGGTTAAGGATTATCTCTCTAAGAATTTTGACATGAAAGACTTAGGTCTTGTTGATATGATACTTAGAATAAAAATCACTAGAGACACTAGAGGAATATCCTTAGGCCTTTCTCATAGTATTGAGAAAATGCTGACCAAATTTAATTTTTATAACTCTAAACCTGTCTCTACACCTTATGACTCTTCTATATCTTTGAAGAAGAATGAAGGTGAATCAGTCTCCCATCTGAAGTATTTTTAGCTGATTGGATCTCTCCTATACATATCCAATCGGACAAGACCTGATATAGCTTATGCTGAAGGGAGACTGCGCCATTATACCAGCAACCCTAGCAAAGATCACAGGATTGCCTTAAAGAGTATTTAAATACTTGAAAGGCACGGTTGAATATTGCTTAACTTACACTGGATACCCTGATGTAATAGAATGATATAGTGACGTCAATTGGGTCATGGATTCTAACAGTGTAAAATCTATATCTAGATATGTATTCTTTTTTGATGGTGCAGCTGTATCATAAAAATCCTGTAAGCAAACAGTAATTGTCAGGAACACCATAGAGTCTGAATTGATTGCACTTGATATCACTTGCACAAAAGCAGAATGATTAAAAGATCTACTCTCTGAACCGTCTTTGGTCCCTAAACCCTCTTCTCCAATTTCTATTCACTCTGATTCTGGAACCAATGTTTTAAATGTCGGATGTCGGGTTCATGTCGGTCGGCCAAAATTCATGTCGGATAGCGAAAATCGGGGATATATCGGGGGACATGAAAAAAATATCGGATTGTCATATCGAATAGGTTGATATAATATCATAAATGGAATCTTTACATACTTGATAATTATATTGTCTAAACATATAATTATTGATGTTAGGATCACTAACCAATTGTAGACACCTGATTCCCGAGTGCATATTGACACCATCTGAATGCTTGACCTACAAAATATGAAGATGTTGTTAGTAAACATAGAATAACATATAAGGAATGAAGCAAGTGACATATAAATTATAATATATAGAATGAAAATCACAAGATTTATATCCATAGAGAAACATAAACAAAGCAAGCATACAACCAAGTTTTCAAAGTTACAAATAGCTCATAATTGTTTAACATCCAATTATCCAAAAGTAATTCCAAAATAACATTGAAACTAAGAGGACTATAATCAATCCTCATCAAAATCAAGAGTAAGAATATCCTCCTCATTCGACTCCGATGATGATGTCTCAATATCTTCTTCCTCATCATCCTCCACCGGCTCCTTCCCCTTCGAAGAAGATGATATCGACATTTTCTTTCTTTTATAGGTTTGCGTTCGTGCACTTTTTCGCTTTCTTGGATTAGCTCCTGAAATGTCACCAACTTGTCTAAAAGTCAAACATTCTCCCGGAAATACTTCATCATCGCTATCATCCCCGTTTGAATCCATCAACCATTCAGAGACCATTTCCTCATCATCATAGGCGCACAAAGGATCTCTATCTATGACAGCATGTTTGTTCTTCAATTTTGCATTGAATTTGACAAAGACGAGGTCATGAAGCTTTTTGTGAGATAATCTATTTCTCTTCTTAGTATGAATCTACAAGTGAAAACATGAATTAGCACAAAATGCTATAAACCTACAAGGCTACAACATAATCTAAATTCAATCATTATTAGTTTATTACCATCTCAAATGTGCTCTAATTTCTTTCACATGCCGAAAAGCTAGTTGTCAAGGCCAAAATCCTCATTGCCATCTTTCTCAATTCGGGAGTATCATTCCCATAAAGCCTCCACCATGTAACTAGTTAATTCATATTTGAAAAAATTAGTAACTTATAAATTTGTAATAAAGGTTAATGAATTAATTTAATATTATAAAGTTACCTGGACAATCACCCTTAGAAGCTCCTCGCTTCGCATATTCATTTCCAAATGACCCTAGACGTTCTTGATAATTAGGTAATTGAGCTCCAATCTTTGTGAAAGTCGCATGGTCATTTGGGAAGATTTTATGCATACAATCTACAAGGGATGTCATGAAAGTTCCATCTTTTTCAATTTCCGTGTAAGCCGGATAATAGAAATATGGATTCAAGTAGTAGCCCGCTTTATGTAGTGAACCACAAAGCTTCTTATTGAATCTTGGCTTAATCATTTTCAATATGGGAATATATTTTTTCTCATCATTTCCAAGGGCTACTTTCAACTCTTCTAAGGCCACCAACATATCTCCATATATAAATCCCATAGATGGGACTTTATCACCATCGGCTCTCCGGAGAACTTTCACTAAAGGATTGAAAACTTTGAGGGCAAAGTCTATATTGTCCCAGAACTTGTTGCTAACAACTATCTCAGCAACCTACAAATAATACAAACAATTAAAGAATGAATGAAATATAAATGATGAAAGGAATACTTTGTAGCTATCAATTTTAATTTTTAAAGTTTAAATACATACCTTTTTGCCCGCTGTTGTTCTTGAAAGGCTACAATCCATCCATTGATCAGAGATGAACATCCGCCTCATCTCTTTCTTGTGATCCCTTAATGATTGCAGTGAGAGGAATACCGTAGCAAATCTTGTAACCCCCAGTCTCACAAGATCACCCTTAGTAAACTCTCTAAACAATTGAAGAGGCTTGGTATGATTATATATAAATACCGATACACTCCTCCCCATTGTAATGGCATTATGAATGGGTTTGAACTTGGCTATGTCACATAACATCAAGTTCACGGTGTGCGCTGCGCAAGTGGTCCAAAATATGTTTTTCCTCTTCTCCTCCAATTTCTTAGAGGCCGCCATATTATTTGAAGCTCCATCAGTGACAATCTGCACCACATTTTCCTCCCCTAACTCATCAATAGCCTTGTCCACAAAGTCACAAATATAGTCAGCATCATGCTTATCGGCCGATGCATCATGTGAAGACAAAAAACATGCCCTCCCGGCAGAGTGTACAACTATGTTCATGATACTTCTAGACTTTCGATCACTCCAAGCATCAGTCATCAGGGAACAACCATTGACAATGCATGTCTTCTTGAAGTTCTCAACAATCTCATCCGTTGCATCCACCTCTCTCTGCAAGCAAGTCTCACTCAACTCGTACATTGATGAAGCTTGTAAATGACTTCCAAACATCCCCACGGCTTGTAGCATTTGATGAAAAGAGGGAAGTGTGGCTGTATGAAATGGAATGCCAGCTTCAAAGAACCATTTGGAAATGTATTGCATAACATCTTCCCTTTTCTTCTTTCTTAGCTTGGAGTCCATCGATGGTTGTTTGCCCTTAGCTACTAATTGGGCGGTCTCTTCAGGAGAACGAGCAGCAAAGGAGTCCATTGGGCCTACTGGCTTGTAAGAGGATGACGAGCTTCGAGTAGTCAAGGAGTTATGCTCCTCCTCTTCCTCCCCTATATGCACTTCACTCAACAAATTATGGATCTTTGTCTCCTTATCCTCCTTGCTCTTCTTTGCATTCTCCAGTATTTCAGAGACTTTTATTTTAACATCATCAGGGACTTTTATGCACGGTGTGCAATTCCCTCTCTTTCTGGCTAAATGAGATTTGAATCCAGTAATCCCGTCATTGAATGTCTGAGTGCAATATTTGCATTTAATCTTGTTGGTATCGGAGCCAACTCTCTCCCCGTATGCCTAACATGGATCTTTACCGTCCGGTTTTGATGTTGGCGGCTTAGTAGACCCTTGTCCTTCTAATGACATGTTCCTAAAAATTACAATAGACAACAAACATATAATTAGTTTTAAACAAACTTAAAACCAATTACATATTTACAATTCAATCAAATAATTATGCATCATGATTCATGCATGGTGTCACTGATTATACAATTCAATCAAATATTTATATGTTTATAATTTATTAGTTAGCATGCTAATTACTAGTTTTAAGCTCTTTTTCTAATTATACTAATTACTAAATTGTTGTTGCTCACTGACTTTGTTTTTCTTTTTTACAGATTATACTTGAGACTTAAGTAGCAACGAGCAAGAATGAAGGATCAATCAAATTTCCCAACAGGGCCAACACAGCTACCAAAATTATTGTATAACGTTTGAAACAATTATGTAAATAACAGTTTGAAACAAAAGCTATATGTACAACGTTCGCACAGATACATCCATTTGATCGGATCTAATACAGATATTAATATTTGATTACTTAAGCACAGATACATTGACTCGACAAATTATCCGAAAAATAAAATTACTGTAGAAATTATGTCAAAGCTAGAGGGGGGGAATTTTTCTCATGACAAAATCGACGTTGCAGTTAAAAGAGGTCACACTAATAGCACTATTTCCAACTGTAACACTCTTGCTCATGTAAATGCAAGCAAAGCATGACGGATTCAGCGTGAGGAGAGGAATTAATGGATCTCCTTTATGTTTTGAAATTTCGGTCTTTGGAGAATAATTTTGATAAGGTTTCCAAAATAAAAAAAGGGAAAGGAAACAAGAAAAGAAAAAGAAAAAAAACACGGGAATTAGATTGCCTTTTAACTTCTTGAGGGGGGCATTCTCATCAAACTAGACAAAGATCAAAACTTTCAATTACCACTTACCAGCAAATAAAATCAAACTAGAGTCGGTCGGCGGTCGAGCAAAGAGATAATCTCGCTGCAGAGAAAAGAAGAGAAAAAAAAATTATTTTCAAAAAAAAGAAGAAAACAAGAAAAAAAATGAAAAAAAAACCTGAGTTTGAGTCGGTCGGCGGCAGATCCGGAGGTGAAGGATTCGGCGGCGGTCAGCGTCGTCGGCGTCGTCGGTCGTCGGCGTCGTCTATTCCACGTCGTCGCAAGGAGAAGGAGCAGCTGAGTTGAGGATCGGCTGAAATGGGGGGAAAACCCCTAGCTTAAAACTAATATGGCATATTGGGTCGGGTCGGGTTCAAATTCGACCCAATAAGCCTAAAACCGATATTTAACAAAGTTGGCCGATTTTTGATCCCCGAAATGACGCCCGCAATGTCTGATTTTTTCTGATATATCCCCGCCATGACCCCAAAAACGCAATACGAGTTAAAATCAGCGATTTCGTATCGGCTAAAAAAAAAAAAACGAATAAATGCCGCCATGTCCTCTGGAACCACCATAGAGCTTCTAAAGCAAGTGCATGTAAATAAAAAACTTAATAGACATATTGAAATAAGATATAAATTTATACAATGTCTGCTAGGCAAAGTTATGATTCTAGACTTTGTAAAATCTGAAAAGAATCTTACTGACCCGTTGACTAAGGGTCTATCCAGGAGTGTGGTTCTGGATTCATCGAGGGAGATGGGGTTAGGCCTATAGATGAGATCACTAACAGGAGGAACTCAACCTTTATTTGAAGACGCGGTCCCAATGTAGATTCAATGTGGTAGAAACAAGTTGGACTAGTGACACTCTTGTGGAGTATCGGCCTTGATATATTCATGTATCATTATGGTAGCATCTGCTACTACCCCTTCTCTATGATGGCAATGCTCTTATGATACAGCTGGTTAGGTTGAGTTTTACTCTTAATAAGTCTAACACATGTATTATGGAGGGTATGATATCCAGATGTAATATCTTTAGAGGATTTACCTACGTGAGAGGAACCGTGATGGTCGCAATTGGGTAGGGCAAGGCTAACCTCTAGAAACTCTCATAAATCGGTTATTGTAAACATGACCTTTAACGCTCAACCCACTTTACTCAATAGATGAAGACATTGTGTGTGATTTTATCAATATCTGGTACAATGTGCCTAATTCAAGGTCTAGTCCATTATGTCCCTCAGGTTGCGATGAACCCACTAAAAAAATGTTCAAAGTCGAAAGCTACCTCTCCCGAATTTATGATACGAAAGGTTACCCAACTTATATTTATTTTATGATTTATTGATTTATTTTAATTACCCGAGTTTTTAGTCAATATTATCTTTTGGGGGGACTGTTGGCCTTGTAGAGGAGAAAAGGCAATTTGCCTTCAAAGAATAGTCCCACATTACCTAGTATAAGGGATGATTGGGTGTTTAAATTGGTTCTCCTCTCTTTTCCCCTTGAGGGCCCCCAAGAGGAAGGTGTTTTTGATTTTTCAATTTGTTTGGGCTCACACGTGCGGGCACGCGCCAGCCCGATTCGCCACGCCGTGCCGCCCGTGCGTGAGCCTCGCCACGCCGCGCACGCGCTCGCCCGCCTCGCCACGTTTTGAATTTTCAATTTAACTTTTCCATTTTCTTTGGACTCGGCAACGTGCAACGTGCGGGAAGTTCAAACGGCTGCGGAGAACGTGCAGGAAGTTGCGTGATTTGTGAACATGCGGAAATTCTCAACGGCTCTCAGGGTTTCCCACCCTTATAAAACAGACTTGCATAGTTCAAAAAACACACAGGAATTACAAAAATGAAAATTCGTTTTACTCTTCTCCCTCTCGGAAAAACAAAGTCCTTTAGTCTTCTTCTCGAAAAATTTAAACTCTTTGTTGAGTTGTTCTTATTTTAATTTTGGGCAATCATCTTTATCTGAGCAGAAGCTCTCTACTCTCGTCCGAGTACAGAGGTCGGCCGCTTCTGAGATATTTTTACCGCTAGGAGAGAGGGGATCATCTGCGCCAGAACGATAGGCGGGTCCTTAATTTTCTAAGACAGTGCAGACTGTGCAGTAATTGCACGACTGCTATCCGATCAGGCTAGATTTTCTGTTCTTTTTATTTCGGATTTATTTGCATGCTATTAGTTTATTTAATTTTTAATTAACAAGAAGCAATGTTTTAAATATCGGATATCGGGGAAATATCGGATGGCCAAAATTCATATCGGATTATGGATATCGGAGAAATATCGGGGATATGTGGTAAATATCGGAATGCCATAATGAATGTTTGCATACATAGTATAATGCATTAAAATATAATCTCGACATATGTAATAAAATTTAAGCATACAAAATATGAATAATATATGTTTAGGATCACTAATCAACTTTCTAAAACAAACAAAAGTGCAAAGCAACGTTGCAACATTCGATCTGTTTTTTAGAGGGCAAAATGTCATTTGATATAATGGGGAAATCTTGATATCTCGCCCAAAAATTCCAAACACAATATATTATTTTGCAACAAGCTATATAAAAAGATATATTGGTCCACATATCGGCTAATATATCGGCCATATCAGGGATTTATCACTCAAAATAGCCAAAAAGCAGTAAAAGATATTTAAAGACCATATCAGTTGCGACAAGCCCTGTAAAAGGATATATCGGGCCATGTCGGGGATATTTAAAACAATGGCAAGAAGGATGCATGAAAATGAATTGCTCATGCTTGTAGGTTCAAATTGTGCTCGTAAGGACATAGTTCCTCTCTTGCTCCTTAATGTGGGATTTTACCGATGGGTCTTGCTCGTCAAAGAAAACTAGCAAATTCGGGCACATTTAAGGTAGGTTTACAATGAGCCCCTCTCATGCCCATCAGTTTCTTGACTGCAAATGTGATAACATTTTAGATCATTGTCCAGAAAATTTAGCAATGGGAAAACCTCCAGAACACAAAAATAGTGATAGCTTTAAGCACATTCTTCAATTACTAATTTCACATTTCAAAACAAAATCTCAATCTCTAACCATAAAATCAAGATGTCAAGAAAAGGACTCTGATAGGAAAAATTAGCAATGTGACAACCAACACACCTCATTGGGACGGCAAATGTTTCAGACCAAGAATACGCCGATATCTTTAAGCACATTCCGCAATTACTGTTCGATTAACTTCAGATTTTCAAACAAAAATCTCAATCTTTAACCCTAAAATCAAGAGCTCAAAAATCACCGCAAAATCAAGAAAGCAAAGAGTATCGAGCACCACCTCCGGAGACGAAGAGGGGCTGAGAGCTATGGAAGTGGACCCCACGAACAGGGCCATCGTGCTCATCGAAGCGACCAATTAGGGTTCCCATCCCAGAGCTGGATCACGCCGATGTAAAGGCTTGCGAGGATCCACGGCCACTTACTGTGGAAACTCAATCCCTGAACGCGGCGGCTCCTCGTCTCCAACTTGAACAATGTGATGGGTAGGATCGTAAATAAATGAAGCGTTATGGGGCTTTATGTAAGGGTTTATTTGGGCTTTAGTGAAGTGGATTTTTTGGGATCCCACCCGACTTGTTTTTTAATACATATGTAGAAGGCCAAACCCTGGGGGTTATTGGTTGGGACAAATTGGGGCCAAGTGGGAAAATTATTCTAATGGAATAAATTTATCCCTTTGGGATATTTTGAGTGGAGCAAAATGGGATAAAGTGTGATAATGAGATAATTTGAGTATTTGATTTGATAATTCATGTGTGATAATTGATGATGTGACACCTTATTAAAATATAATTTTATCTATTAATTACTTCTAAATTAATTTATCCAATTAGTTTAATATATTATTTAATATATTATTATAATATAAATATTATTTTACTTTATATTAAAATATAATATATTGTACTATAATTACTAATTAATATTATTAATTATTATATTACATATATTATATTATATTAGCATGCTATACTATATAATATATAATAATTAATATAATATAAGATCAATATATTTAACATAATATTTTAATAATATAATATTTAATATAATATATTATTTTATTTATATAAAAATATAATATGTTATACTATAATTAATCTAATTAATTTATTAATTATTATATATATTACATTATATTAGTATCCTACATTATATAATAATTAATATAATATATGAACAATATATTTTAATATAATACTTTAATAATATGTTATTTTATTTAATATATTATAAATATAGTATCATAGGATATAAATGTACTGTATATAAATAGTGTAATATTTTACTTTATATATATAATATATGTTATTAAAATATTATATTATATTATAATAAATATGTTATATTATAATTACTAATTAATATTATATAATTATATATTATATAATATTATTAATATATGTTATTAAATTGATATAATATATGAACAATATATTTAATATAATACTTTTATAACATATTATTTAATTTAATATATTATAATATAGTATCATAGGATATAATGTACGGTATAAAATAGTTAATATTTTACTTTATATATAATAATATATGCTTATTAAATATTAAAATATGTTATTAAAATATTATATAATAATATATGTTTATATAAAAAATAGTATGTTATACTATAATACTAATTAATATTATATAAAATATATATAAATAATAAATATTATTAACAATATTATTATAATTTATTAATAAATGTGTTGTACTATTATATAATATAGTATGTGATATTGCATAATAATATATAATAAAAATTATAAAATAAATTATACATATAAATTAAACTATAATAATATTTTATTATATTATATTATAATATAATATAATCTATCGAATATATTGTTACTTTATACTTTATATATCATGTCATATATTTATAATATAGTTAGCATGTATTATTTTAAGTAATACAAAAAAGTTTAAAAATTATCTCAATTGCCTTCAAAGTGCCAAAAAATTGTTCCAATATGAAGGATGGGGTAAATTTTTACTATTGAGACAATATTTTTGTATATGAATGGGGTAATTTTATCCCAAGTGGTAAAATTGTCTCACTATTGTTTCAAAAAAATAATAACACAAAAATATATTATCCTTATTCTATTGTCCTAATAAATAACACTATAAAATAGAATCTTAAAATTATCTCATTATCCCCCTAATCTTTTTCCTCTTGAGAGAGAGAGAGAGCTCACTGTTATCGTGTCGGCTTTCGAGTCAAAATGAAGGTTATCTTCGAAACCCTAAAATGCTTGAACTTTTCTTCTGTTAATCTTCTCTCAATCTACTTCCGTGCTAATTTGTTGCCCAATTCTTGCAGTTTAACATTGAGAATCCGACCACTGGATGCCAGAAGAAGCTCGAGATCGATGACGATCAGAAACTGTGAGATCTCTAGCTCGAACCATTTTCATTCTTCGTTGATGACCTTTTTTGGGGGAAATTTTCATGTTGTTAACGTACAAAGATTTAACTATTGTTTAAATCTTTAGATGAGACTGCATTCTCAATGACCCATAAAATTGTCATTGATCCTAATCTTTGAAATATTCAGAAGTATTGTATCATAAGTTTTTGGCAATGGCTATCATTTATGTCTGCATGTCATAAGAGTATTAATGCTTTTGTATATCTATTTCCTTGTCATTGAGCCCGTTAATAGAAATTGTAAAACTTTTCATCTATTATCTTGTAGGAAAGTCGCTTGCTGATTCACATGTGTGCTGTGTTTGCGTGCGGGGGGGCGCGCGGGCATCTCGGATAATAACTATCATTTCTGTATTTAGCTTTTATTTTCATATCATGATAGTAAATCTGCTAAATGAAATATTCGCTCTGTGCATGATATAGTGGAATTTTGTAAGCACGTATTAATTTTAGGGTTTTTTATTTCTAGTCCCAAATGTTTACTCATCTTTACCTATAAACCTAATCACTATTAATTTTATCGCTGATTCTAGAAATGTGGGGACTTCTAGGGCAAAGGACACTCTCAGCTGCTGTACATAATAATCCCTCTCATAGACGCCTTGACTTTATTCTGTCAACTAATCTGTCTGAGCTTCGAGACCCTGAACATGACACATCTTCTACACTTCCAAAATTTTCTGCACATGTTTGTATTAGAGCAAGTGCAACAGCCTCCCAAGAATGCTCCTAAGTCCTATGTGGCAAGAAAAAGCTCCCAAGACCTTCCAACAAGCTCCCAAGGAAGCTCTCAAATCCTAGTTGGCGGTGGGGCCCACCATGGAGCTCCTAAGAGCTCCACAAATTTGTGGAGCACCTGAGAGCTCCTAAGGGGTGGGGCCCACTAAAAATATTTTTTTATTAGATTTGTTGTTTTAAAAAATATTTATAAAATGTTAGACATAGAAGAATAGATTTTTCAAATAATATTTATGCTCCTAGTTGGGAGTTTGTTAGAATATTTTTTCTAGTATGAAGCTCCTAAGTGGGCCCCATGCTTGAGAGCACTCCAACAAGAGCTCCCTACTAGGAGATTGTTGCACTTGCTCTTATCAATGTATGATATTGCAGTATCTTTGTATAAGCCATATGTGAACTATGAACTGTGTAGATGCTCTTAGTTTCATCTGGAGTGATATATTGAGATAAATTGTAGTTCATAACCAGATAAATGCAGAATCAATTTGTAACAATGGCCTTTTCTTTGTGCAAGCTTATGTGTTAAGGTTATTTTTTGCAATGAATTGCATCCTCTTTTACAGCCGGGCATTTTATGACAAGAGAATATCTCAAGAAGTCAGTGGGGATGCCTTGGGTGAGGTATAATTGGTCCCATATCATGAAAACCTTTAAGGATATCATAAGTTTCGATATTTTTGAGATATATTTTACAATTCCTATTCTTTCTTTAGGAATTCAAAGGCTATGTATTCAAGATCATGTGAGGGTATGATAAGCAAGGATTTCCCATGAAGCAGGGAGTGCTAACTCCTGGCCGTGTCCGCCTTCTGTTGCATAGGGGTAGGGTTGAGCATGGTTCGGTCCAAACCGAAAAAACCGACCGAACCGACCCGAACCGATCCGAAAAAATCGGTTTTATGAGTATGGCGGTTCGGGTCGGTTTGAAAACTTTTCAACCCGAACCGACCCGAACCGACCGAATATAGTGCAATACTACCCATTCTGATCTCAAACCCTACCTGACCCGTCCCTAAAGAGTCAAAGACTCAAACTCTAAACTCATTTTCTGGATCATTATGGGTTGAAAACAATATCATTATATCAGTGTTTAATGCTTCATAATCTCCTACTTTGTTGATATTTTTTTCTTTAACACAGTTTGTTGTTTGATAAGAAGTTTGATGAAGTTAGAACCGAACAAACCGAACCGAACCGTACCGAACCGACTTGCAACAGTTTGGTTCGGTTTTGAATTATAGGCGGTTCGGTTCGGTTGTTCAAATTTTGATAAAAACCGAACCGAACCGACCGTTGCACACCCCTACATAGGGGTAAGTGAACTATTTGCTTCTACTTAGGTTTATTCTGAATTCTAATGTGGTTTCTCATATCTCTCTATCTATGTTTATTGTTTACACACCAAGGCTTCTTTTGCCTTGAAGGAGAGAAATCTATGTGAAGTTCTTGTTAGACTAGAATTCACAAATATAGTAGTTTTATGGAAGAAAAATAAATGAGTGAATTCATCGGCCTCGGGGAAGGCGTGTGGTGAAACACTACCCTAAAGAGGTATCTGCCGATCTCATACGATCAGCCAAAGCGAGATACTCCTTAGCGTTACAATCTCTTCTCTACCGGAACCCTAGCGTGCACGACCACGTCGGGGAGATGACCAAAGAGTAAGCAAACCAATAGTAATAGTAAAGAAGAACTATTGAAGGGAAGAAAGTTAGCAGAGAAAGAAGAAATAAGATGAAAAAGCGTAGATTTTTTTTCTTGTGTGTTATCCCTATTTTGGATCTTCTTTTATTGGCTAAAAAGTACTCATTAGGAGATAACAGAAAAATATATATTGTAGGCTAAAGAAAATTCACGTTCCTTTATTTGAGGAACAACCTAACAAACCTTTAATTAATATTTGGTTTTTCTCCTTGTTTTACCCTTTGATTTCTTTTGGCAGGTACTCCTTGCTTTCGTGGGTATGGCAGACGTAACGGAGAGCGCAGGAGGAAGTTTGTTCGTGGGTATGGGTCGAGCGGTTGAGGGCTTGCTTGGCGACGACGAAGCGCTTGGATGTTGGATCCAACCAGGGCCAGCCGGCTAGGGGCGGGTGAGACTGTGAGAGAGGGCTCAGACTCGAAGCTTGACCAAGATCTCCGCCATTGAAACACTAGGCCTGAGTTTTTTTTTGGCCAGCCCCCTTTTCTGTTCTCTGAATCTTTATTCACTTCGAAATATGTGGGGGAGAAGAGAAATAAAGGGTGGGCCGTGGGGGGATGCATCTGGCCCTTGGGTTACGGGTATTAAAAAATTATTTTCTTGCCCTGGGCAGCTGCCCAGGGCAAGCTCTACATAGCTATGCCCCTGGATACAGGCGATGACTTACTGAAGAGAGAACATTACTACTGAAGATGATGGTGGAGAAATAGCTAATGAGGGTGAAGATGACAATATTGTCAACTTTACTCAAACTACGATACAAAAAGAGGAAAGAGATTCAAGGAATGAATGGAAAGAGAAGGGGGACCAAATTGCAAGTGTTATATGGGTAGATTATTGTAATAAGTATCGTGATGTGGACACAACCGAAATTGGCTTGTAATTTAATATTAGTATCTCTAGACTTATTGCATTTCTTAAGTTTGGCGTCTCAACTATTGTTTGGCATGATTAAATCTTTTTCATATGTTAGTTTGATTTTAGATTTGCATTACTTGATATGTGTAACAAGAGTTTTTTTCTTCTAAGTATGGCTGATTTTGATGATGTTGATAAAAGCAAGGAGTTTGAAGCTACTCTTGCCCCTAAAACCCCTAGGGTTCCTCCTTCAAACTTGAACATGAACTTCATGTCATCCCCCCATACCCACTACTATGCTCCTCCACCTCCTTATCGATATTACTCTCATTATGACAATAATTTCTCATTTATGACTCAACAACCTATGTTATATAGTAATATGCTTAGTAACCACCCAATTATCTATGCAACCCCTAGCTCACATAGCACTGGTACCCACTCTGGATATAGTCCTTCATTGAAGAGGGCTATTGAAGTTAACGCCGAGGCAATTTCACCAAGTAAAAGAAAGAAGAAAGCAATTGCTAAAAGGAAAATGCCATCAACAATTATAGATAAGACTCCAAACACTAGAGGTGTGCCTAACATGTATTGAAATTCAAGGCATGATGATGTTCTAATCCCTATTCTTTCTCAGTTGGTGAGGGATGGTCTCAAGATTGATAGGAACTTCAAAATGCATGCATACAAGGTGGTTGCTAAAGAGGCAAACAAGCAGTGTGGAGCTGAATTCACCAAGATAAATGTGACGAACCATATGAAAACCTTGAAGACTAAGCTTTATGATATGCAAATTGTCATGAACATGAGTGGTGCCGGATATTGATCCAAAGACAAAAATTGTGACCATGGACCTAGAGTCTTTTGATATATTGACAAAAATATTGATTTATATTTTGAATATTTATCCGTATTATTTCTATACAACCATATTTATCTTGCATTTTTCCTTACATTAGTTTACTATACAGGACAAGAAGTGTAATAGCTCTAAGTTGAAGGAGTACTTGAACACGCCTCTCACTCACTATGATGATTTATGTGTCATTGTTGATGATGACCAAGCAACGGGAAACTTGGCAAAAGATATGTATAAGAAACTTGGTTCTAGTCGGACTCTTGAATTTTCAAAGGAACCAATAAATCTTTCTGAAAATGATAATGAGGAGACCCCCAACACATATTTTGAGACTGATATACCAAGTGTAGAAAAGATCAACACTCAGTCTCAAAACATGAAGTCATCTAGTGGTGTAACTTCTACATCCAATGTCAAACTTCAATCAAAAAAGAAGAGCGACAAGGGTAAAGATGATGATTCACTAATGCGTGATCTCATCGAGTCCATGTCTTATTCAATTCAAAATCAACATATTTACATTGGAGCGAGAGCATGGCCAAGGCTTTATTAGCACATGAGACTAATTTCTCTGACAATAGTGGATAACGTTCTTGATTATTTGTATGACGATGAATCGGAATCTAAGAGGTTTATTATCAAAAAAAAAAATTGCTTAGGAATTTTTTATAGAGAAGGTTATCCAGGAAAATGGATTTGACAAAGAGGATTGACGGATGTGTGAAGTTGTTTCCTTCCACCTTTTGTCATTTTGTTGTTTTTATGTGGCTCATTCTAATAATAACTAATTAATCCTCATACTTTTGGTGCTTTATGTAAAGCTGCAATAATACAGCCTATGATACTTTGGTTATGACTTTGCTTTTATTTTCATGATAAAACTGCTATTTTATTTTGTATAATTGTTTATGATCAGGTTATGATCATGTTATGAACTTGTGAATGTTGTGTATGATTTTGTTTGCTTTGTGGTTATTACTAGGTTGTGTTGGCTTAATTATGAGCAGTTTCAACTTAATGTTTGCTTCAGTTTCAGCTCTTTGGTTATGACTAGGTTGTGCCTAGTTTATGAGCAGTTTCGGCTCAATGTTTACTTTAGTTTCAGCTCTATGGTTATAATCAGGTTGAGCAAATGATTATGAGCAGTTTTAGCCCAATGTTTGCTTCAGTTTTAGTTATGATCAGGTTGTGCTCAGATTATGAGCAATTTCAGCTTCATATGAACTTCAGTTTTTCTTCAGCTAAGGGGCTATTTTCATCTCTTGTTTGCCTGAGATTCAGCATTAGTTTTAGCTAGATAAGTTGAGCTCAGATTTTGAGTAATTTTTAGCAGATTATGATTAGTTTTCCTAGTTGCTAAGGGGATGTTTCATCTCTTTATTATGTGCAAGTTATTAGCTTGGAAATGCATGCTGTTTTTGACATGTATTCTTATGAGACACGATGCTATGATTTGTGGACAAGTTATAAAGATAGCAATCTACAGACATTGGTGTATTGGTATGGCTATCTTTCAAAGTTTGGTTTCTTATCTGAGGAGAAAATTAGATTTTGTCACGATGCAGCAATATCCATAAATTATTTGGGTTTTTTGCATTAGACAATGATGATTGGTCATTTTTGTTAATGCAACCTATATTGTGATTTTATTATTTAGAGGAGGCAAACCATGATGAAAATGCAATATAAATTGCTCATGCAATTTTTAGATGAGTCAACCATTATGTGTCGGCAATCTATAATGCAATTATAATATTTAGGCAAGGCATTGTATATTGATAATATGACTTTAATTTGAGCTTCATACTCTATTATTTAACAATCATGAAAATTTCCTTTCATATATCAATACATTTTGCAACTACATGACATATTTTTAAAGATAAAGACGAGTACACAATTTATAACTAAAACCAATACACTCATTTTCCAAATGATTAGTTGATGCTCTATTGATTTCAATTCTCTCTTTAATTTTTTTATTTCCATTGACTTTTTATCTTCAAGAATGTCTTCACTTTGTGATAGTTGGTTTCTATTTCTGCAATCAACCTATTTGTGAGACCATTGAAAGAAGTTACATTCTTTATTAGGATACTTAGCACAACTCCAATAATATCTCCCTTTATTTTTTTCATTTGCACATAACTTCAGGGGTGTTGGAAGATTGCATTTGCACTTCACTTCATATGGGTCAATTACTTATCTGCTATCACATTTCAGCTCCATCTTCATTACAGTAGTAAGGTTGCTCTGTTTCCTGAAGAAAAAAAAAGTTGAAATGAACTGCATTGTATTGGGCCATTGCTGATACATTTATATAGGATTGCAACTCCTATATACTAGCCGTTGCAACCCCTAACCGTTTATATCCGTTGCTAACTTTGTACGGGGTAACTCTACCACATGTATGTTTATTCACACTTTTTGGGTTATTTCCTATTCTATTGTTTTGAATCAAACATAAAAAAGCTAAAAAAAAACTTTCTATGATGGTGTTTTTCTTATTCTTTAAAAATGATACAAACATGAGTTTTGGATATGCTTTCTTATTTTTTACTTTATCATTCCATATCAAACATAAGTTTTGGATTCATTAGATATCCTTAAAAAAATTAGATTTGATTATTTATGAGAGAATCCATTTCCATAATTTTATGAAATGAACCAAACAACCCCTAACGATAACAAATGTTGTGAATCAACTGTAACATCCATGATCCATCTTATCATTGAAGTAATGTGTTAAACATAGTTTTCAACATAGTTGCAACACAGTAAGATGGGTTTTTTAATAACTCACTTTTATTACTTATAATGTTGATCTTATTGAAAGTCCATGCCAGTGAAATACAAAACTTTTGTTACATCAAATATAATACAATTTCAACTTCCCTTAAAAAAAAAAAGGTGCGATTATCACGTGTAAGTGGAAAATGGGTACAACTTTTAACTAAAAAAACTTTCTTAATTAAATATTCCCTTTTTTATGTCCGGCGGTTCACAACATTTAAAGTTTGAAAACGTCATTATTTTTCTTGGGTTTTCTATATTAGTCCCTTAATCGTTGCTATATTTTAATTAGTCTCTCAAATTATTAAAATTGCTATCGAGTCCCTCAATACTTAAGAGTTGTTACACCATTAATCCCTTGATCCTTGAAATTACTATTACATCCTTAAATTCTTATAAGTTCTTTCAAATTAATTTCTTTAGTTAAAGTTAGTAGTAGCAAGATATAAGAATCGAGGGACGTAATTTCAATTTCAGTGAAGTAAGGGACTATGATTTTAAAAAAAAATCTTTATTTTTCAATCTTAGGATATAATCTGTAGCTGTTGATTTAATCCAATAAGGGGTCTTACATGGTTTTTTTCTTTCAAATTGTTATCCTATGAATTAAATTTCACATTTTTCTGTCTAATTGTGCTAGTTATGTATTTTTAGTCATTGAATACTTTTTGCAGTTACCAAAAATCATTTAGAATATGATATGGTTTTTAATAAATGAATGACTTGCCACATCATCTTTGTTATCTTCACTTTTCTACTTACGGTAATTTATTTGTGTAAACAAACATTGTATTTCATTTGCATAATGATATGGATGCATTTTCTCACTTGCGAAGAAAATGACTTTCACACTTTCAATTTGCCAAACATCCCTACAGTTTACCAACTTTATGTTATGTTAGTCATGTGATAGTAATGAACATAAACTTTGGGCTAATTTCACATAACACCCCCAACAAAAAAAAACAAAATATTTGGGGGTATTGCACATAAACGCCCTAAATTTTGTTTATTTCACAAAACCCTTATCAACTTTGGGCTGTCTCACAAACCCCCCATAAAACTTTGGGCTTTTCTCACTTAACCCCCTACATGTAATTTGCAAACAACTAAATTTTTATTGAGAGGAAAAGTTCCATAATTTACGAGAGGGAGTATATTGCCTGTAAATGACAAACGATAAAGTTTAAAATATTTTCCTCTCGAAAAAATTTTAATTTTTTTAAATTACATCTAAGGGTACGATAAAATTTTTTTAGGGAGGTTTCGTGCTGCACCCCAAAGTGCAGAATAGTTATATGAGATAAATAAAGTTTTTTGAGATGGTGCCTTTTAAGTGAGGGGTAAAAAAAAAAGCATTTACATTTGTTTATTGCCAGTCACTTGTCATCGCTTCCTCGAATATAATCCCTCTCTAAAACCCCCCAGCTTGTACCCTCGCCCTTTTTCCGCCTCCATCAGAAAACCGCAGCAGCCTCATCGCGCAAAACCTAGATACGCCATGGGCGGTGGCCAGAAGCGAGGGCGAACTCAACGGAGACACTTCAAGCAGAACAGAGACAACGTATGGAAGCACAACAGTAACCCTAAAAAGACTCGACCCGACGACGGCACGAACAACGATCCAAACTCCAATCCCGATTCCATCCCTAATCAGAAATGGGAACCTTTCATCTCTCAAAATCCTGGATTTGAGGAATACTACAAGGTAACTCTCGTTTCTTTTGAATCTGATGAAAATTTTCAGATCGAATTTGAGTTAAAATTTGCTGAAAGTGCGCTTTTTTTTTTAAATAAAAGGAAGTCCAACAGCTGAAAGAGAATTTGGATGTTTGATACTCTTGTGTTTTAATGAAGTCTGCTAGTATAAATATCTCAAAGGAAGAATTGTCGTGTACAGCGCAGCATTTTGTGTAAAAATGACATCTTTTTGTCACCGGTACTGATGGGTGTGTAGTCACGAGAGTACTTTTATTAGTCATAGATGGTGTTCAAGCTGGAAAACAAGAGTTCAATCAAAAGTTTCTGGCATCGTAGCCCAACATGAAATTTTCTAGTTAAAGATCAGATTGGCAGCCATCAATAGGATCTTTAGTATTCAATTCATGTTTCGACCCATTCTGACAAAATGAATCTTATTTGACATAATTTTGTCATAATGTGACCAGGGTAATCCTATGATATAAACAACAAATGCTGATAAACTCCAAGTATAGATTGGTCCATTGCAAACAATGTCTGCTTAAGCACCTTGGAGACCTACTTGTTTGACGTAGGCGATCAAGATTCACTCTTATATGGACTGTTACCTTTTTCGTATTAGTGGGAACTGAATCGTGTTTATTATGTTCATCTTTGGAGTCAATTTGAATTTGTTATAGCTTTTGTTAATGATTTATTTTGGTTTTAGTTTTAAGAATAGTTTTAGAGGATGTCGAATATCTACTTTTGGCTTATGGTGTTTTGAACCGCCTTCATAGAGACATCTTTTGGATTGCATTGAAAGAACGAACTTGTTATAGTTGTTGCGGGATGAAAGATCTGTGACAGGGTTAGAACTGTCTGAGCTGGAACTGTTTCTGGTTCTTCTCTATTATTCTTATGTTTGTCATGTTCTTGTTTATTTATTGTCTAACAATTATTCTTTGCCTACTTGTTTGACGTAGGCGATCAAGATTCACTCTTATATGGACTGTTACCTTTTTCGTATTAGTGGGAACTGAATCGTGTTTATTATGTTCATCTTTGGAGTCAATTTGAATTTGTTATAGCTTTTGTTAATGATTTATTTTGGTTTTAGTTTTAAGAATAGTTTTAGAGGATGTCGAATATCTACTTTTGGCTTATGGTGTTTTGAACCGCCTTCATAGAGACATCTTTTGGATTGCATTGAAAGAACGAACTTGTTATAGTTGTTGCGGGATGAAAGATCTGTGACAGGGTTAGAACTGTCTGAGCTGGAACTGTTTCTGGTTCTTCTCTATTATTCTTATGTTTGTCATGTTCTTGTTTATTTATTGTCTAACAATTATTCTTTGCCTACTTGTTTGACGTAGGCGATCAAGATTCACTCTTATATGGACTGTTACCTTTTTCGTATTAGTGGGAACTGAATCGCGTTTATTATGTTCATCTTTGGAGTCGATTTGAATTTGTTATAGCTTTTGTTAATGATTTATTTTGGTTTTAGTTTTAAGAATAGTTTTAGAGGATGTCGAATATCTACTTTTGGCTTATGGTGTTTTGAACCGCCTTCATAGAGACATCTTTTGGATTGCATTGAAAGAACGAACTTGTTATAGTTGTTGCGGGATGAAAGATCTGTGACAGGGTTAGAACTGTCTGAGCTGGAACTGTTTCTGGTTCTTCTCTATTATTCTTATGTTTGTCATGTTCTTGTTTATTTATTGTCTAACAATTATTCTTTGCCATTCAGTGTAAAAGTATGGGAGGTAGAAATAATGTTGACTTAGTCAAAAGAATTGGCTATGCTTCTAACTATCCCATTTATGTTGGCGAAGCTATCTTTATGTATCCTCTGCAGTACTGCATTAGAATTCTTCAATTGTGTTTGTTGTGTCATGTTGAGTGCTGTTTTCTTGCAATGACATTTCCTGAAATTTGAATACTATGTTCTAGGTGCAATGCATTGTGTCAACAGAAGAGTGGGAGGAGTTCATGTCTTTGTTGAGAAAGCCACTGCCAGCTGCATTTAGAATCAATTCTAGGTAATTTGTGTTGTAAGCACATCTATTATTATCATAGTCATTCTTAACAGTGAATTATTTCGTAATTCGGTTTAATGAAAATGAAGTTTTAATCTATGAGTTTGCTATATATTGCTAATGCAGTGTTGCCAGGTGCCGACATCTGAATTTAAAATATACTTGTGGATTTTCTTCATTTGCATCTTTGTCACTTGTTTTAAGTAAAGGCATGCTTTTACTATACTTTCAAGTTATTCTTGGAAAAGTTCATACCATCATCTTTTTGCTTAATTCATCGTGTTATCCAGTGAGTGCCAGTTTTGATTAATTTAAATTATAGTGCCCAGTTTTATCAAGACGTCCGAATGCAGTTGGAAAATGACTTCATGAAATCCCTGGAGGCGGAGGTATACTTCCATGTTGCCTGTCTCTGACTTCTGTTTTACTAGTTCCAACTTTTACTCATTCGTTGCCAAGGTTTTAAATATCGGTTATCGGGAATTTATCGGACGACCAAAATTCTTATCGGATAGCGAAAATCGGGGATATATCGGGGATAAGTAGTATTTATCGGAGTGATATACTAGATGGTGTATATATATAATATAATAACTAAAAAATGTAATCTAACCATGCTTAATGAAATATAAACATACCAAAATGTAAATCATCATGTTTAGAATCACTAACTAATTGTAGAAAGCAAAACTTGCATCTTGACCGCACGATGAAACCATTCGATTGCATAGCCTTACTTATCGGCCGATAATCCCGATAAAAAAACCTTACTTATCGGCCGATAAGTACCGATAACGCCGATAACTCCCCGATAACTTGCCAAAAACGATAACCGATTAAAAATCCAAGTTATCCTATCGGAGAGCTCCCAAATCCGATAACTCGGCCGATAATATCGGTTATCGGCCGATATTTAAAACAGTGTTCGTTGCGCTTATAACCATTCTTTTTATTCCCATCGCTTATTAGGCTAATAATGAGCATGAAAGTGAAGCTATCAGACCATTGCCTTGGTATCCTGACAATCTTGCTTGGCATTTGAATTTTTCCCGGATGCAGCTACGGAAAAACCAAACACTTGAGAGGTAATTGGCCTTGTCCATTAATTTGATGTGTTTTTCTTCTCTATCTTCTTATCTTTCTTTTAGGTTCGAAAAATTAAATAATGTTGACAGTGGAGCTTCTCAAAATGGATCTAAGTTCTAAAAGTGAGCTATTTAATGTGCAAAAGCTTAAAAGGTGATGACATCGATAGCATATTAACACTGTAAATGTTTTCTTTCATTGTATTTTTCTTTCCATTTCCTTTGCTTTTGTAATTTCTTTCCATCACTTTCTTTGCAACCAGATACAATCTTACACTTACAATTTTTTGTTTCCACTTTTCTAATCTTCTTACCAATATATCTTTGGTGGTGTGCATTTTGAAACATAACATTTCTAATAAGACCACGTTAATATATTCAGTCGAAGTTTCTTTTAAACTAATAATTGTGAGACAAAGTTTGCAGTTTGTGATCTGTTAGTTCATGTTTATTTTGTTGCTTAATCCCAGATTCCATGAGTTCTTGAAGCAAGAGAATGAGGTTGGTAATATTACCAGGCAGGAGGCTGTTAGCATGGTGGGTATCTCTTTCATGTGATGTGTGTGCAGTGTGTTTGGGGTGGGTGGGTGCATTGTGGATGCGTGTGTACATGCATGCATGCATATGCATTTCTTCTCGTATATGATCTTGCCTGTGATCATTATATCTTTTCTTGCTTTGAGTATATTTGATTGGCCACTTTGCATGACATATTTTCTTTTTCTACATTTTGACTACAGGTTCCTCCCTTGTTCTTGGATGTGCTACCTCATCACCATGTCCTTGACAGTAAGCTTCTTGTTCTTTTGGATATTTCTGTTGGCGCAATCCTTTTTGTTATCACAAATGCCATTGTGGAGAAACTTACGCAATTCCCCTTGTTTGCGTTTACGTGAGAAACTGAGTTTCAACATACTCTTCCTGTACCAGCAGAGATTTACACATACTTCATCTCTTTTTAAGTATCTGGCACCATGTGCTCAAAATCTTATATTGTTGTCCTAAATATCCTAAGAATAATATAAGTACATCATTTAATTTTAAGTTCTTTAATGTAAATATTATCTTTTTGTTGATTTGAAAGAATGCTAACCCACATTTGGTACAAGTTTAGTTATTACAAATTAATTATCTAACAGTTATTTAGCGTAAAGATGAACTTTGTTGTTGCCACTAGTTAATTGCTGCAAAAATCTTCTTGCAGAAGAACTACTATTCAAACTTTATGCAACATGAATTATTTGGACAACTTTTATTCAATCCAGTAAGTTAAGTATAACTTTTCTCATAGATCTATTCATCTTTGTATGTGTGTGATTTTTGTTTTTCTCACTACTAATATATATTTCACCACATTAATATGCCACCATGTATGATCTATGATAATTTAGCCAATGTAAGTTATATATTTTGGTCTTCAAGTGTTCTAAGTAAATTATCTAGTGAAAGTCATTAGTTATATTTGTTATAGTTCATCACATGCTTTTCCCAAAATATGGACTTTATATGACCTGTGTTCATTTCATTTTTTTAACTATGTGGTGTTTGGCCTATGCAGTGTGTGCAGCTCCAGGTTCGAAAACTTTCCAGTTGCTTGAGATAATACACCAAACAAAGGAACCTGGACTACTTCCAGACGGACTGGTATTGCTCTGTAGGAATTGATAGTATGCTTTTGGAAGTTAGGAAGAGCAAGGATCCTGTGATTCTTTAAAATGGACTCATAAACCCTTTTGTTGTTAATTGCCTATGTTTTTAATTAAATGATGCCAATCTGTTCAGTTGATTGTCTGACTTTATTTACCCCACATGAACCATAATGGCGTTGCTCTCCAACATTGCCAAGATAGGGAGCACTATCATTTCTCTGTATTTTCACTATCAAATTAAATAATTTATATCATTTAATATACTGATTGAAACTTGACCTCGAAAATATTTACATGCTGTAGTCTTAAACTGTCCTCTTTGATTTTCTAGGTGATAGCAAATGATGTAGATGTCCAGAGATGCAATCTTCTCATTCATCAAACTAAGCGAATGTGCAGTGCCAACTTGATAGTGACAAACCACGAGGCACAATACTTCCCTAGTTGTTCTTTAAATAAGTGTTCCGTAGAGATTTCTGAAGAAGAAAAAGGGGAGCTAGGAAAAAGTGTTCTGCAGTTCGATCGTGTTTTATGTGATGTACCATGCAGCGGTGATGGCACTTTGCGGAAGGCTCCAGATATCTGGCGGAAATGGTGAGCTCTTCATGGTACTTTGTGAGATTAATTATTTCATTTTGTGATTACTCATGACAGGCCTGATTTTGGTTCAGGAATGCAGGAATGGGTAATGGCCTTCATCGCCTTCAGGTGGAGATAGCTATGCGGGGTAAACTTTTTTGAACCATTTGTAGATTATCTTTTAGCATTATGCCTTCTTCATGTAGCCTCTATGACGGATATCATCGTAGATACTACGTTGGATGTTGTTGGTTTTTTATATTTTATTTTTATTGTTCATACAATGATTTATTCTATTAATCATATGCAAAAAAATTAGCATGCTGAAACATTTAATTTCTCATACTTTTCAATTTTTCATGACATGAACTCTAGTAAAACGATTGGTTCCACCAGTTGGATGCTTTTTGATTCCTCATAAGCCAACTTCTTCTATAACTCTCGTCTCTCTTTTTTATGATCGTAGGCTCCACATAAGTTCTTTGGACATGTAAAGATTTCCCATAAGCTGCTTTAATTTGTGTGTTTAACTTTGCATGGTTATTTAGTAGCTGTAAAGTACTGTCAATATGCTTCCTCATATATTTTCCTGATTGCTGGATTATTAGAATCTGTCTTTCCCTCCGTTCTTTGTTGGATCATTTTCTTATATGGAGTGATCCATTATGGGATTTTTTCCTCTTAAAGCTAGTTTTTTCTTTCCCTTCTCCCAGGCAATTACTCATAGTTACTCTTTAATCATATTTGAGTTATATGTAACAAACCAATATAAACTTGCAAAGTGACTAAAATGAACCACCTATGTCTTCATAGTTTGCCTGGACATCAAATTTGTGTTACCGTTGTGTTTTGTGCTTAGAAGAGACATTTGGCTTTTGCTCTAGCCTACATGGAGCTTAAGCTTAGCTTGTTGCTGAAGTTGAATTACAGTTAACTATGCTAATGTCTCCATTGCTCATTACAAAAACAAAGTTTAGAAGAGCTAATATAAAACCAATTCACACATAATCCTTTGCTAGATCTTTATTCAATATTCTAGTTGTAATGTTTATGATTACAAATTGTACTTGTGATGTTTTGTCATCTCCTTTTTGGATTGGGGGTCTAACTAGTTGCACAATTTAGGAATCATGTACCTAATCTGATTAGAACCCCCAACTCTCAACTCACCTTTGTAGTGACAATGGAATAAAGTTGATGATCATGAGAAGAATGATGTGCACATCCTTCATGCAGTCCTTTCTTCCAATGTGCTTAACAGTAGGCAAAAGGCGCTCATACTGATTCCTCTGTTATACTGTTTGTTGCAGGGATAACACTGCTAAAAGTGGGTGGAAGAATGGTTTACTCAACCTGCTCGATGAATCCTGTGGAAAATGAAGCTGTTGTGGCTGAGGTTTGTGATTTATGAAATACTTGTCTTATCAAATTTATTATTTAATATAAATTTATTTATGAAAATATGTTAAAAGTCTCCATTAGATAATCTCTATATAAGATAAATCATTTCTTTGTATATTCCAATGTTTCCCCCCTTATTTTTAGGGAAAATTGCTTCTAGCTCCCAAAATAACAACAGTTATTCTTTCCCCGCCCAAGAATTTTTCAACACTCCCAAAACCCCCAAAAGCAAAGCCACAATTCTCTGAGCACCCAAAACACAAAACCCAAGAGTTTAAAACATGTTAAGACCATAATACCATTTCTCTCTCTGTCCCTTTTCATGATGTCACTGTGATGATTTGAAATGAGTTTTAGAGGGAAAAATTCTAGTTCCCTCCAATTTTTTCCAATGGCGTCGACATTCGCGATGGAACTTTCTCGGCGTTCATTCATGATGCGAAGAAAACTGCAATCTTGAAGACAGCGATGACAAGTTCCGATGGATTCAGCGTCGCCGTTCCGAAGAAAAAGGCGGGAACTCCGGCGACTCCCGGTGTAAAATTTCCCCTTTTTTTAACTTGTACTTGAATCTGAGTGCTATATTTTTTTGTTATTTTACATATTGTTGTAATTTTTTTTTAAAATCGATGACTTGAGATTAAAGCAGAGTCTGTAAATTTATATATTGTTGTTATTTTACTGTAATGAGTTTGTTGTTAAGGTTATGAGTTGGTTGTGAAGGAATGTTACATGTTGGTTTTGAAGGTTATGAGTTGGTTGTGAAGTTTACGAGTTTGTTGTGAACGTTACGAGTTGGTTGTGAAGTTTACGAGTTTGTTGTGAACGTTACGAGTTGGTTGTGAATCTCGATAATGAGTTGGTTGTGAAGGTTAGTAAACAACAATCACAATCAACTCATTGCCGAGGTTCACAACCAACTCGTAACCTTCACAAACAACTCGTAACATTCACAACAAACTCATAACATTCACAACCAACGCGTAACCTTCACAACCAATTCGTAACATTGACAACCAATTCGTGTTCTTCACAACCAACTCGTAACATTGACAACCAATTCGTAACATTGATAACCAACTTGTAACATTGGCAACCAACTCGTAACTTTGACAACCAACTCGTAATCTTGACAACCAACTCGTAATCTTAACAATTAACTCATAACCTTGCTTCACAACTAATTCATAACCTTAAACTTAATAACTCATTATAGTAAAATAACAACAATATGTAAATTTATAGACTCTGCTTTAATTTCAAGTCATCAATTTCAAAAAAATTACAACAATATGTAAAAAAAAAGCATCAGATTCAAGTATAAGCTAAAAAAGCGAGAAAAATTATACAAGGAGTCGTTAGAGTTCTCGCCTTTTTCTTCAGAACGACGACGCTGAATCCATCGCAACTCGCCTTGATCCCAATCTCATTCGTCTTAAACGATCCACCGTCTTCGTCATCATCGTCTTCAAGATCACAACAATATATAAATTTGGAGGGAATTAGAATTTGTCCCCCTAAAACTCATTTCAAATCATCACAGTGATATCATGAAAAGAGAGAGAGAAAGTGTATTATGGTCTTCACATGTTTTAAACTCTTGGGTTTTGTGTTTTGGGGCCTCAGAGAGTTGTGACTTTGCTTTTGGGGGCTTTGGGAGTGTTGAAAAAGTCTTGGGTGGGGGAAGAATAGTTGTTATTTTGGGTGCTAGAAGCAATTTTTCCTATTTTTTATTTTTTAATTGTACATAACTATGTATAATTTACAAGGCTTCAACCTGTTTGCACATACAGTAAAGCAACATTGTAAAATTTGAGCAGAGATCAGGTTGTTATCATAATAATAATTGTGACTGGCAATCTTAGATAAAGTTGAAGTGGTCTCACTTTATTTTTGTCTAAACTTGTTTTCCATTCTTTATATTTAAGTAACTTCTCATTGAAACTTGTTCGTGAAGTATATTTAAGTGACTTGTCTCTGAAACTGTCCGCTATATGATCACTTCATATACACAATTGTTTCTTTCTATTTGTAGACATTTTAGTTGTTTAGGATAATTTTTTTTTTGCTCAAAATTTGTACGGGCATTGCATAGTTGATTTTCCGATTGGTGGTGTTTGTCTTCTTCCAAGATTTCTTTTTTGGGTATTACCTTATTCTCTGATATTTTACCATGAATGTGGCTCATTAGCAGTGAGCAGTCATATTAGGGTACTGGCGTTTTAAAATCTTCTGGTGCTGCTGCTTGAATTTTGTATGTAGTGGCTTAATTGAATTATCTAACAAGTGGTTTCTTAAAAGCTATTTCTATTCTAGGCCCTGTTTGAAATTAGCAGTGAGCAGCCATATTCTATCACCCTATCACTCATACAATACCTCATTCCAGATTTTATTTTATCGACTGATCATACAATAATTATTCTCTTTCTTACCTTGATCAAATCTTGTATTTATTTCTTTCCACTCTCCTTTGCATACGCTATTTCTTCATATCTTAATATTGTCATGTGTAAACTAGATTCTTCGGAGAAGTAAGGGGACAGTCGAGCTTCTTGATGTGTCAAGTGAACTTCCTCAATTGGTCCGTCGTCAGGGTCTCAAAACATGGAAGGTTAGTTCTGCTGGGATTACATTCTTGCTTTAGATATGCCATTGCAACAAGCTAATGCAACTAAAACTAAATACTAACAGGATATTTCAGTTTTTCCTCAAAGTTGTTCTATATTTTGAATGCAAAAAAGAATTGCGATATCATGTTAGACTTGCAATGAACTGGTGTTGAAGAAATTCAATAGAAATAGGAAGGATATACAAGGAAACTTCATATATTAATAAGGAGACCCAAACCTTTTAACGAATATTGGAGTGTAAGACCAGTAATATAATATATTATATATAATTAGATCCAAACATCCATATCTAAACCCAAAAGAAACCTCATCTTCACATTTGTAATAAATAATATATATTTCAAACAATATTCTCCACCGTTGAAAATCTACAGTTAATTGATGCAATTCTTCACAAGATAGATTCACAATGGCCTCACTTTTTCCCATATTTTCCTAATTTTTAACTTCATCGCGATCTTGTCAATCACAAATTATACAAAAGAATACGTGGATAAAAAAATCATTTAATTCCTCTAGTAAAGAATTCCTTCCGGTAACTAGATATTTCCATAGCCAAAAGTCACCTGTCAAAGCCCTGAGAAATGAATGGAATCGGTTACCATCTATATTGTATGGGTACGGATATGGGACTCTACAAATTTGTAAAAGGTAGGGTAAGGGGACATGACTATATAGATATTTGTACACACATATATTATATATTGGAATTAATAATTTATATGAGAGCAAAGATAAAAATTAAAATTCCTATGATATTTTTATGTTTCTTTTATTATGTGAATTATAAATTGGAAAATCACTAGTTTTTCAACTAGACATCCAAACGAACCTTTAAAATTATAATTCATAACCTGACTTATGTCCAGTGAATTTCAAGAAGTGGATATGAAGTGTAGGGTATTGGTCAAAAAAATGTATGACAAGTGTTTTAAATTAGAACATATATTGTGTAATTGAGTACATGCCCGAATAAATATTTGCATATATGTAAGGAGTGTCCAAGGAGTTTGGTTACCGGTATCGGTATGGGTACGTGTTGGGTAAGGGTATGACTTCAAATTAGAAGTAACCAAGTAACATAGGTTACCATAGCTTATGATGACTAGTTTCTTATATGACATGTGCCTTATAGATTGAAAATGTTATCATTGGTGCATATACTATCTCTTCGCTGGTTCTGACATACCTAAATGTTACATGATAACTCTTTAAGTAATTTGTGCTGTAATAATTAAAAAGTTCAGGTCATTACAAAATTGGAAGATGAATAATGAAGTGAAATCTAGTTTGGTTAAGGATGTAATTATTTCAGTTATGTCTTATATTGTCTTCAAAGTTTCACTTGGATATTTTTATGCTTTAATTTTTTTCAGATCCGAGATAGAGGTCTTTGGGATAATTTGATGTATTTTGGGGCAAATTGGGTTAATTGTCCCAATGGGATAATTTTACCCATTGGGATAATTTTACCCATTGGGATAATTTGAGTGGGATAAAGTGGGGGTAAAATGGGATAATGAGACAATTTAGTGGGACAATTTAAGTGGGACAATTTGTATGAAGTATCATAAAACAGAAAAAATCACTCAATTATCCTCTCTCTCTCTCTCTCCAGATTAGAAATCCAAGTTTTGGTAACCTGGTTGTCACTCTTCATAGTTCCCATAATCTTCCTCATTGCTCATGAGCTGAAATTTTGTGCAAAAAGCTGCAATTTAACCTCTACAGAGACAATAGCAGTCCAGCTATTCAAAATTCCACCTTTTCCACAAAATTCAACAACGCACTCAGTTCCAAACTACGCTAACCTACTAGATCAACCAAAAATAAAACTAAATTGAAAGAAGAAAGAACAAAATTGACCTCAATTATGTCATGGAGAGCTATAATATTGGGATGCTTGATCTTCTTCAAGATCACGATCTCCGACAGCAAGCTATCCTGCAGCTTCCTGCCCAATTTCTCCATCACGACCCCCACCTCGGGCTACGGTCTGTTCTTGAACTAGGCATCCTCCGACCCCCCACCGATGCTCGCCGCCACGCCGTTCCCTTCCTCATATTTCACCAAACTCCCACCGCGTTCCGTTCCCGTTCAACAAAACCTCCACTCTCCAATTGACCTCGTACCCTAGCCCTCTTGCGCTCAATCGCAGAAATTACCCAAAATCAGATCTGATACAGAATCGACGGTGACAAATTCAAACACGACGGTGAGAGGGTGATGGAGAAGAGAGAAGGAGAAGAGATCGCTGGAAGAACGCAGAAGAAGAGACGCTGGGGTAATCTTGTTCCAGCAAATAATTTGGGGTAATTTTGAGGGTGGGGTTTGAGGGTTCTTTATATAGTTGGGGTAATTTTAGGAAAAGTGGTGTATTTGTCCCACAATTATTCCAACAAACCAATAACATCATATAGTTGAATCCATAACCAAAAAAGTGGTGTATTTGTCCCACAATTATTCCAACAAACCAATAACATCATATAGTTGAATCCATAACCAATTACCCCAATGAATAACACCAAAAAGATTCCAACAAACCAATAACATCATATAGTTGAATCCATAACCAATTACCCCAATGAATAACACCAAAAAGTGTTATTCCAAAAATTATCCCATTATCCATAAATTTACACCAATGAATAACCCTCCCTTAGTTTCTTATAAAAATGTCCCAAAATATAGGAGTGTGATTAAGTAATTTGTGCTGTAATAATTAAAAAGTTCAGGTCATCACAAAATTGGAAGATGAATAATGAAGTGAAATCTAGTTTGGTTAAGGATGCAATTATTTCAGTTATGTCTTATATTGTCTTCAAAGTTTCACTTGGATATTTTGATGCTTTAATTTTTTTCAGATCCGAGACAGAGGTCTTTGGTTAGCTTCTTATAAAATTGTCCCAAAATATAGAAGGGGTGTGATTTTGCCAAGTATGTTTCCTTCTGATGAAAACTGCGATGAGGTGGAGGTGTCAAATGATGGTGCACAGGAGGATTTGATGGCACTTGACAGTAATATTGGGGGAGAAAGTATTTCGGGCACCATAACTCAGCCTTCAAGCGAGATAGAGAATGAAAAGAACAGTGAGAATTTGGAAAATATTGGGACTTCTGCTGATGATGACAAAGCTGCAGTTCAAACAGAAGCTTCTAATGGAAGTGCGTCTGCGGAGGCCATAGGGGATGATTCCAAAGTTGAAGTCTCAAGATTTCCACTTGAACGGTGCATGAGGATAGTTCCTCATGATCAAAATAGTGGAGCATTTTTTATTGCTGTTCTTCAGAAGACTTCTCCTTTGAAGGGTAATTCACTATCATACTATTTTCTCTGTCATGCAATAACTTCTATATGAGACCATGTTCCATTAGTTGATTATTGTTATTATTTACTTGTTGTAGAGGACTATAAAAACCAGTCAAGTAAAAATATATGCAAGATTTCAAGAAACATGAGCAAGAACCTTCTGGACGAAGATCAGTCGGGAACAAAGCTATCTGGAGATGTGCCTCATGATCAAGAACCTGTTACGACAGAACAAGCATCTGATGACAGTAAAATGGACAAGAACCAATTAGCAGCATTAGGATCTAAAGATGTTGGGTCAGAAGATAATAAGGAAAAAGAAAAGGAAGAATGTGACAATGGGGAGAAAGGCCATGCAGAATTGAATGGAAGTAAAGGGAGATTACAAACACAAGGCAAGTGGAAAGGAGTTGATCCTGTCTTATTTTTCAAAGATGAAGCAACTATCAACAGTATTCGATCTTTCTATGGCATAAGTGAATCATTTCCTCTGGAGGGCCATCTTGTAACCAGAAACCATGATGCTAATCATGTTAAGAGGATTTACTATGTATCAAAGTCCGTTCATGATATCCTCCAACTAAATTTTCAAGCTGGACAGAAGCTTAAGATAACTTCCCTTGGCTTGAAGGTTTTTGTAAGTATCACATTCTTAATGAATTTACATATTACTCACTAAAATATGTTACTTGAACAGATTGATATTATTTGTGTTTTTAACCGAAAAAATTCTACTTTTCTCACTATGTTCCTAACTAGTCTTTTTCCTTTTTTATTTTTTATGATGCGCATAAGAGCATATTAGGTGTCACATTTTCTTTGTCTGACCTCTTTTGCTTGGTGAAATATTAGGCTTATGCCAATGAAAGAAATTTTATGTTTGTAGATGTTCCGATAATTTCTAATTGGGCAAATATCAGAAAACCCTCCTTAACTTTGGATGATTATCGGAAAATTGACTTTGAAAATATCACAAAACCACCCTAATTTGGGGGGTTTCTGATAAAATCTGAAAGTTAAAGGGGGGGGGGGGGGGGGGTGTTTTCTCTATACATTTGTATACCACAGTATTTATTTAAAGAGAGAAATTAGTTGGGGGGGGGGGCGGGTCTATATTTTAAACTGACACATCATAAATTCCTTGAAACATTACGTACAAAGATTACCATAGAAGCAGAGCATGGCATCATATATACATTTCAGGGGTGAGTATAGCACCCCAAGAAAATTTATCACTTAAATTGGACCATCAAAAGTGTTGTAAAATTAATACTACCATCACCCCCCCCCCAAAAAAAAAATAAAAATAAAAATAAAAAACAACAAAAAAAACAACCAAAAAAAATAATAGTAAAAATAAAATTTTAAAGTTGCACCCCAGTGCTCAAGCTATTTAAAAACACTAAAGAAATTTGTAATTTTTTTTGAATTAACGCATTGAAAAGTTGAGCCATTTAAAATTCCAACAAGTGTACCCGTATGCATTCCTGTCAGGTACTATGTTCTTATAATATTATAGTTTTATTTTTAGATAAATAGAAAATTTATTTTCCAGCCCCAAGAAATTTTTTCTGGATTCGCCATTGAAGCGAGTTCTGTGTCACTGTTCCTCGTAATGCTGTACAGATCATGATCTTTGATTAAGCTTTAGTGAGGGACTTTTGAAAAGTTCCTTCCTAAATGATTGACTTTGAAGAATCAATGGAAATAATATATTGCATGGTTTGTTAAACGGTATCTTTGTTTTTCCCAATTCAGGAGAGACAAGGGTCCAAGGATGGCACATCACCATGTTTTTTCCGGTTATCCTCAGAGGGATTACCTCTCCTGCTTCCGTACATCAGCAAACAAATACTCTCTGCATCTTTAGCTGATTTCAGGCATCTATTACAGTACCGAACTATCAAATTTGCTGATTTTGTTGACGCTAAATTTGGTGAGAAGGCTTCAGAACTGATGCCAGGCTGTTGTGTTGTAATTCTTGGTGAAGGTACAATACTCTTAAACAAATTATTATTGTTTTGGATATATTACAAGAAACCCTCTGCATCTATAATCTAATAAGTTCAACAGAAACCCTGACATAAGACCCTTAATGAAGCCTTTAAATTTAATCCTATTATGGAGTTTTATTATTTGAATAACAGCGGAAACATTTGCACTTGAGTGGACGCAGATTTTGGAAGTTTGGAAGTACGGAAATAGAAGGAAAATATAGTTCCTAAATAAACTAATAAAAAATCTTACACTTCATCATTAACATATTATTTTGCAAGGACAGATGTCCGTCTAATGGCTTCATTAGTAATCATAGAAGAGGGGATTTTTGTTAGATGTTTTACACAAGGTGTTTTCTTGAAGTTGAAAAACAGGATAATGAGGATATAGATGGAGATTTCTTGTAATTTACCCTATCATTTTTGAGTTTTTTTCAATTGTTTCTATGTTCACAGGAAAAGGATCTGCAGATAAAGTTGAAGTCGATGCCTCTACGATTGCTATTGTGTGTTGGAAAGGAAGAACAAACTTGTGCATTATGGTTTCTGAACTGGACGGCAAAGAACTGCTTGAGAGGCTTTCAGCACGTTTTGGGCGTGAAAAAGGTTCGGCTCGAGAAGAAGAAAAGAATGGAGATTTAGTGATTGATACAGTAGAGAACCAGGAACTTGGCGAACTAAATGAAGAAGCCAAGGACATAGATGAGTCGAAAGCAGTTAGCGAGGAAACTGTTACGAGCTAAATCAAGGAAAGTTGATTTACTGATTCTTGAGCTGTTGCAATACTAGAATTCCCTGGTAATTGAGCTATTTTATTTAATTTGTATGCACAGCAAGGGATACTGATTTGTATCCAGTATTTTGGTGACAAATGTGGGTATCTATAATTTGTTTCTCTCTACTTTGTAGTACTGAAGTTTAGATTATTCAAAGTATACTTTTTTAGTAGAACTGTATTGGGTCAGTCTCTTGGCTCAAATATTGTGATGCTTTAAACAAAATGATGTTCAGTTCAAATTTCTTGGAGTTCCGTTAATCATTAGGCTAAAACTCAGAAGTTATGGTGAGAGTTGAACATTATATTTTAACTTGTCTCCGAAGGTTGAGGACCCTTTTTATGGGCCGAAACATGAACTTATGCAGTAGTGTTAATTTTTAGAAAATTTACTTTAAATTTGTATTTGGTAGGATTTGAATATGGGTTGCACAGGTGTCATCATAAAGTCTCTCCTTTCGAAGTTGTGGTGAAGGGTGAATGTTATATTTTTAGGTTCTAACAAAATGATTTTGGATTAGTTAAATCCACAACCATTTTCTTATAATATTTTTGTCTAACATGAATACGACATGTTTTAGTCACATTATATGTTTGTTACTATGATTACGCAGAAAAGTCTTGGACTAAAATCTTTCTTATGATATCATCTTTATCTTTACTGCTAAATTACCAAATGGAAATATCTAGTTGCCTCTGTTTACCAATAAGGTATATTTTGTTGCTCCAGGGCCAACAAGGTACATAAAAAGTGGTTAAATTGTGGCAATAAGGTATCTCCGATCATCACTGATGAGTTTTGAGCAATTTAAATTAAGATTTTTTGCATATATACCCCTCAACCCATATTTACAAATTGTCTCCCAAATGTTAATATTTGCAAAAAGTGAATACCAACTCTCTTCTCACTCTCTCTCCTCTAAGGCTCTAACCCACCCCTCTTCTCAGTCTATCTCCCTGCCATCTCTCTCTTTCTCCATTTTAATTTGCGGAAATTTTTTCTTGACCTCCACAATCTTGCATCAGGAATGCTGATAGCTAGGGTGAGTTCTGTCTTTTTTTATGCTGACCCTCAGCAGAGTGAGGGGAGCGGAGAAAGTATGAGAGGAGAGACATTGAGAAGAGATGTTGATTTTTTTTGGGGGTTAAATATTAAGATGTTTTTTTTTTTGCAAAACCCCATAATCTAAACTGCTCTAAAGTTAGTGGTGATTACTGGGGATACCTTATTGTCATGAAATCATTTATCATACCTTGTTGCTAAATATAGGCAACTAAATAAATCAACCTGGTAATTTAGCGTTATCTTTACTAAAGCAAGAAGAAATTAAGGGTTAATTTCAATAACCTCCCAGAACTTTGGGGGGAGTTGCAAATAACCACTTGAACTTTGTTTATCTCACACAACCCCCTAAAACTTTGAGGCGCCTCACAAAACCCCCTTAAACTATGAACGTTTCTCATCTGACCCCCTTACATGTAATTTGTAAGTAACTAAAATTTCCTTGAGAGGAAAAATATCAAAATTTAGGGGAGGAGGTGTTACTTGTAAATGTCAAATGACAGAGTTTGAGATTTTCTTCTCTAAAAAACATTTGGGAAAAATGTGTCCAGACCCCAAAAACAGAAACTTCATGTGCTGCAGCCCCTCTTAGTTTCCTCCGTGTGATTCAGCCCCTTGAAGTGTGACACTTTGTACTGCAGCCCCTTTTTAACAATTATTATATACCGGCTAAGCTAAAATCTCCAAAATAACCTTATCCTCTCTTCAATCCCTCAAACCCAGCTCTCTCATCCCCCCCCCTCTCTCTCTCTCTCTCTCTCTCTCTCTAAAACCAAGGGCTTTCTCAAGCTCGTCGCCCTGGCCCTCACCCTCCTCGTCATCGCCGTCGCCGCCTCCGCCCAGGCCCCTAAGCCTCGCCCTCAAGTTTGCCGCAACGGGCCTGTTATGCTGGATATGAGAGAAAAATCATGGAGTTTAATTAAGTATTCAGGTCATTTGTTTCTCATGTGTGACTTAGCCTTGTGTCAGAAAAGCAATGGCTCACGGAAGTCTCGTGATTTACATAAATCAAAATTGTATTTTTATGTTGAGGCTCGTGGACGCAATGGCGGGTTTTGAAGTCAAAGAAGAAAGTTAATGACATGGCTAGTTTTGACTTCAATTCTAACGAGACTTTTAATGTCTTCTTTATTTTTTTACTTATGACTCTCCTCTGTTGATGAACCAACAGCACCCTCAATTTCTTTTCTTTTTTTTCTAATCGGGAAAAATAATCGTATCTTGATCTTATATCCGAAATCTAAGTTCTTGAGCTCTTGGGCTCTCAAGTTAGTTCTAACTTGCCTCATGTAAGTTCTAACTCGCCCCATATTAGTTCTAGCACACCCCATGTTAGTTCTAGCTAGTTGGGGCAAGTTAGAACTAATAATATTCGAAGCGATATAACAAGAGTTAGAAAATGAGCCCAAGTGAAAGGAAGATACCGTGTGATAGATAATATAAAGGGCTACACACCGGCGAAGACGGTGGTAAAAACGGAGACCGGAGGTGGCCGGAAAACGCGCGCGAAGTCGTCATGGCGCTACTGTTTTCTGCTCGTTGCTGCCGTCGAGCGATGTTTCGGACGTTACCGAGAGAGATAGAGAATGAGTTAGAGCGTGATACAAATTGGAGGTGATAGGCAACATGTAGGGCTAGTCACCAAAAAAGAAATTGGCAGAAACGGAGATTGGAGGTGACCGGAAAGTGCGTATGAAGTCGGCACAAAACTGCAGTTTTCTGCATTGCAATCCCTCGCCGTTCGGGTTTGGTCTTCACTGTTCGGAGCTTTTCGCCACTGTCCGGGCTTGCCGGAGGTGGGAGGAGGTTACCGTGGTCGTTGGGGTGTCTCGGTGGGCTTCGCCGGAGGTGGGAGGAGCTTTTCTCTGTTCCCAAGAGCCTAGAACTAAAATGAATTAGAGTTAGAACTAGCTAGAACTAACATGGAGCGGACTAGAACTAACATGGGGCGTGTTAGAACTAACATGGGGTAAGTTAGAACTAAGTTGAGAGCCAAAAAGCCTAGAACTAAGATGAATTAGAGTTAGAACTAGCCAGAACTAATATGAGGCGGACTAAAACTAACATGGCATAAGTTAGAACTAACATGACATAAGTTAGAACAAATACGGCACAAACTGGTCATTTATTATCTGATATTGTTCGAATCTGGAAAATCTCAAAACACCAAAGTTGTAGGTCTCTTCAACGGCTTTCCAACAAGTCTTAAATCACCTCATTCCGAGTTCGGACGAAGAAATTACAGTGAAAACAATAATGTAAACTAACATGGCACAAACTGTATGTAAGATCTGGAAAAGTCTAAAAGACCAAAGCTGTAGGTCTCTTCAACAACTTTCTAACAAATCTTAAATCACCTCATTTTGACTTCGAATAAAGAAATTACAGTGGAAACAACAATGTAAACCAACATGGTGTAGATTAGAACTAACATAACAGGAGCTAGGACTAACATGACATAAGTTAGAACTAATATGACACAAACTGATCATTTACTATCTGATGCCGTTCGAATCTTGAAAAGCTTAAAAGACCAAATCTGTAGGTCTCTTCAATGGCTTTCCAACAAGTCTTAAATCACCTCATTCTGAGTTCGGACGGAGAAATTACAGTAAAAACAATAATATAAACTAACATGGCACAAACTGTATCTAAGATCTGGAAAAGTCTAAAAGACCAAAGTTGTAGGTCTCTTCAACAGCTTTCTAACAAATCTTAAATCACCTCATTCCGACTTCGGACGTAGAAATTACAGCGGAAACGACAATGTAAACTAACATAGTGTAGATTAGAACTAACATAACATGGGCAATGACTAACATGGCATAAGTTAGAACTAACATGGTATAAGTTAGAACTAACATGACACAAATTGGTTATTTACTATCTGATGTCGTTCGAATCTGGAAAAGCTAAAAAGAACGAAGTTGTAGGTCTCTTCAACGGCTTTCCAACAAGTCTTAAATCACCTCATTCTGAGTTCGGACGGATAAATTACAACGAAAACAACAATGTAAATTACGGTTTTCCAGTAAGTCTTAAATCACCTATAGTTTATATTGTTGTTTACGCTGTAATTTCTCCGTCCGAACTCGGAATGAGGTGATTTAAGACTTGTTGGAAAGCCGTTGAAGAGATCTACAACTTTGGTCTTTTGAGATTTTTCAGATTCGAACCGAATCAGATAGTAAATGACCAGTTTGTGTTATGTTAGTTCTAACTTATGCCATGTTAGTTCTAACTTATGCCATGTTAGTCATAGTCCCTGTTATGTTAGTTCTACACCATGTTAGTTTACATTGTCGTTTTCACTGTAATTTCTACGTCCGAAGTCGGAATGAGGTGATTTAAGATTTGTTGGAAAGCTGTTGAAGAGACTTACAACTTTGGTCTTTTAGACTTTTCCAGATCTTAGATACAGTTTGTGCCATGTTAGTTTACATTATTGTTTTTGCTGTAATTTCTCCGTCCGAACTCAGAATGATGTGATTTAAGACTTGTTGGAAAGCCATTGAAGAGACCTACAACTTTGGTCTTTTGAGTTTTTTTTTTAGATTCGAACGACATCAGATAATTGTAGGCTGTCTAAAAATCATAATAGATAGTTTATTCAAACAAGCTCCGACAACGGAGGTCACAATCAGACGACTTCCCAATCACTGCATCCGCAACTCCACAATTGCCACAAACGCGACCTCACCTCTGAGATGATTGATCTTGATGGCTGTGACAACAGCATGGCTAATATCGTAGCAACTATTAGAGATGCTGATGAGCAGTGGGACGATTTCAGAAATAAAAAGTTGGACTCAGTTGGTGAGTTGCTTGATAGAGAGCTATGGGCGAATATTCATCTTTAAGACACTATGGATGTTGATTCCTGTCTAGCTCCTACTCGCGTTCAATGGTGTTCAACCAACGGCGACCCTCGCGTTCGACAATGCACAAGCCAAACGCGAGCGATCCTCGCGTTCAATGGTGTTCAACCAACAACGACCCTCGCGTCGTCAATGCACAAGCCAAACGCGAGCGACCCTCGCGTTCAATGGTGTTCAACCAAC